GGGGCTGCTCAACCCTCGCAATGCTTGGTACCGCTTGGCCACCAACAACTCCGGCTTCATGACTGTCAATGTACTGCAACAAGGTGAGCTCTTACTGTCTTTGCCTGTGCGTATTTGATTGGTCGCCTCCCAACTCATAACTTGTGGGTTTGATCCCCGGCCCTTGTGACCCTTGTCCTTGAGCGAGGGTACTGGTCCTGTAGTTGCTGATGCTTATTCACACTCGACATGTATAGCTTGACTTCTGAGTCTGGATGTACACTCCATGGTTCTTGTCATAGTCATCAATTACACATTCATAATAAAGACCCAATGAGGAGAGGAGACACTGGATTCTGGTACCAAATCTCTCGAAGGGGGGGCTACGAGGAGAAGCGTTTTGTTTCAGTTCTCTGCACGTCACGCAAGGATCTCCCCGCTCGCCCTCTCATTTATTTCTCATTGGGAATCTAATACAGAGGCGTATCCAACCTAAGGAGTGAGGGCTGTTGAAGACACACACTGAACTTGTTTGACTATGTGAGTGGAAATTACGTACATGTGTGCAATCATTACAAAAACACCAAGTAAGCTGCAGCTGGTGTTGACAGTTCCATCCACGTCCGACCTTGCTCTTGTTTTGTCTTCTTACCTTATCTCTTTCCAACCACATTCTCAGAAAGGTGGTTGTGTCCCCTAACTGTCACACAGTGCACTAAGCATTCTTTATTATAAGTACAAGCATTCTTCATTGCAAGCATAATCAATCCATCATTATTAATACGCACATGTATGAGAACTAAACCTAAAATACAAAATGATTCCTTCAGTTCTCCTGACAAAATCCGGCTTTTTCACAGTGTAAATAGGGAGACATAGAATTGGATATGTTTTGATGTGCTTCTGAGGCCCAAAAGTTGGCCTAATTATTGGAGCAATGATTATTGCATTAAATATGGTACTTATATGGTGTCTGTAAAGGGCAAAGCATGGGCTGGGAGCGCACATAAAACCTGCTCCGTTCTGTAATTTGGCCCACCAAAAAATTATAGTGGATGTAAAATGTCTACTTCAACACCCCTGTTCAAATGCCATGTATTTGTGATGTAAAAAATGAGACCGATATATCTTTACGCCATTAATGTGACATCCACAACTCAGTTTTCCGAAAGTAAAATGTCATTTGTTCAACGTGGCCGTCTCACCCACTGCCACCTCCCCCTCCCCCCCCGTGTGAAATGACCGTGTTTCCCGTGTGGCCGTCCGCAGAGTCCACCGTCAAGTCAGTGGTGTGCTCCAACGACGCGCTCTTCTACTTCGTCTTCTTCTACCCGTTCCCCATCTTCGGCATCCTCCTCATCGCCCTGCTGCTGGTGCGCTTCAAGAACCGCAACAACAACAAGAGCCAGGAGGGCAAGAATGGCGCCCCCCTCCTGTGGATCAAGGAACCGCACCTCAGCTACTCTCCCACCTGTCTGGACCCGCCCGCGCTCAGCCTGCATCCTGGATCCGTGGACTAGAGCTTGACCCGCCGCGTCGGCCGTCGCACCAGGGGAGCGGATCAGGACGCCGCTTTTGGGATTCCCTGTCGTTGACTGCTGTTTTCATCCATGAGTAGATCGGCTGCCTGTTTTTTTTTTTTTTTTTCCTGTGTGAGTGTGTGAGTGAGCGGCCTTCTCATTTTTGTGTGTCTCACTGCCGCGTTTGATTCAATTACCCTAAATATTGGTCTGTTTTTTCAAAAAGGAGAACAAAAAGAAATCAGCACACTTCTGAAAAGAAGGAACTCTCAGTATTAATTGGATGCCCCTGCCCCAAAAAAAAAAAAAAAAAGTCTCGACAGTCCTCATCCAAGAGCAACCTGGCCAACACAAGTTGGTTGCCATGGCGATGCTCCGAGCCCACTGACTCCATAGCAGGTGACTTGGCAGCCTCGCAGAGAGACAAAGAAAGGGTCCACCTGGCCCCGCAAAGAATTTGGCCCACAGAATCAAGCCCTGGAGCACCACTTTCCACACACACACACACACACACACACACACACTTTTTTTTTTTTTTTTTTTTTTTTTTTTTTGCGTGTATTCCCCCGCCCCCCAAAGGTGGCTCAACATGCCTGTTCACTTGAGGCAGAAGGGAACATTTGCATCTCCGTCCCTAAAATGCAAGCGACAGAAAAAAAAAACTGAGACTTTAACCCTTTCACTGCCAGACTGGACCTAAAATGAAGAGGAGGGGGATAGAAAGAGAAATCTCCCCTTTCCCCACCCCCCAACCCCAACTTTGTCGTCTCAGTCGTGTCAACATGTATATTGCATGACAAAACCGCAGGAGACATTTTAGATGTTTTGTAAACTTGGAACTCTCTTGAGCATCGTGTTTGTGTGACAGAGCGCCGCCCCAAACCCCAGGTGGACTTCCTGAGCCCATTTACTAAGAAGCGACCCCCCCCCCCCCCACCCTCCACACACACACACACACCCACACACACAAATACAAATGACCATGTGATGTTTGCTAATACAGAGGCTCCTCAGTATACAAACAGATCATAAAAATGTGGTCAATGGTCTCAAAGTGTTTTTAATACTATAATATTAAATATTGATTGTAATTAAGACTTTACTACTGTGTTATAATACAGTTTTTTTTTTGTTTAGAACTATGTCATTAACTGAGGACCCCCTGTATTTTGATCTTGTCCGATGGCAAGCGCAAATGCCATTTGGATGAAGAAAGATACAATTC